TTGTTTTGTTTTGTTTTGTTTTGTTTCGTTTCGTTTTGTTTTTTCGGGAAAACAACCATAGGAACCCGGAGAAAAACCTTCGTGGAAAGGGATCGAGAGAACAGATCCGGCAAACAAACCCAACTCACATGTAGCTCATATAAATTGGTATCTTTCTTGCATCGCTTAAGATAAGGAAAATATAAGACAAGAAGAAAAATAACTCCTCCCTATAAGCCTTTTTGTGTTTCATGATGTATCAACTTTCGTTTTTTAAGGTCACAGATCCACAATCGTTTTGGAAGTGGGTAAAGGAAGAACCAATAAGTGCTCTTTATGATATCACGTGGTACAACAATCAAGCGTTCGAGGAAACGAATGGTTTTATTAGCAACCGAAAAGTTTTCCTTGTGGGGATGCCTCGACTTCGACAACTGAGGGTAAAAGGTATAAACTACAAAACGAAGGGCGAGCAGGCAATAGGAATTTAAAGATCGTAATCATGTTATTGGTTCTAATAAAGTTATATAACCGTCGTTTGAGAAAGAATGGTAATAAATATTAACCGGAATGGTATTCTCTTGTTATTTCTTAGGGAAATCATGCCCAAAAGTGGAATTGCATCATTTATTCAAGCGCTGTCTTCCAAGCTACAACTTAAATTCTGAGGACGACACACCCTACAGTCTACCAGGTTGGAAGGAGCACCCTGTTGGGAACTTAACAGATAAATTTACTACATCCAATTTGGATAGCCTATGTCCAAGGCCTTGGAGGTACATGGACTTCAAAAGAATCCAAACCCTTCCTTTTTATGGAACTGGTATTTTATATGGAGGCGGGGGGTTTGTTGCAGACCTTGGATACAACAAATCGACAGCAAATGAAGTGGTTGACCTCTTAAGAGAGAGCAATTGGATTGACGAATACACAGCGGCTGTTTTTCTTGAGTTTACAGTATTCAATCCAACTTCAGCATTGTTTAGTTCAGTTAGATACCTATATGAGCGATTTCCATCCGGTGCCACTAATGCAATGATGAGAACTGATACTCTTACTGTTTACGCTCCAACGAACAAATCTATATATTTTTTCTTTCAACTTTGTCAGTTTCTTCTGATGGTCATCATTTTGATCACTATTGCCATCGAGATTATCAGAATTATCAAGCAAGGACTTGAATATTTTAAAGTAATCTGGAACCTGGTTCAATGGATTGAAGTTATTTTTATTGTCGTTGCTATTGGAATGCTTTATCTGAAAGAAAAGTATGTAGGAAAGTTCATTGAGCGATTACAAGCCAACCCTTACGAAACATCAAGCACTGACTACATTGTGATGTGGTCTGACCTGGAAACGTTCGTTTTGTCGCTCGTCATTTTTGTGGTTACAATAAAACTGCTGCGTCTTATTCGTTTCAGTAAATCAGTATACCAACTCCATCGGACCATCTTGCAGTCCATAAAGATGCTTGGATCCATATTTCAGTTGTTTCTGGTGATCATATTAGCTCTTTCTTTTATGGCAACAAACGCCTTTGGAAACTTTTCCTACAACTTTTCATCATTTACCAAGTCATTTACCAAGCTCCTTCACCTTTTAGCTGGCGGCAAAATATTCCAAAAAGATTCGAGTTTCTCCGATAGTCCCCTTGGTTTGATATTTGTCATTTTATACACATTTCTCAAGGATTTTCTTCTTGTAAATTTGTTGCTGTCAGTAGTTATARAAAGTTTTACAGCATCCAAGTCCATCACTGATCCCAAGGTGTTAGAAAATTCCAAAATGTCTGATTTTACCAGGAAATTCATCCGCAACGCTTTCAACAGCTGGAAGAAAAAGTTAAGCAAATTTATACAACAAAAACTTAACAAAGGAAAGCCATATAAGACTAAAAAATGTAAAGACGAAAAACACATTTATGAAGATAACGATTCCATTGGACACGGTTTTCATGATGTGGAGGAAAATATCAGAGAGAATAGATTGAGTAAACTTTACTACAACATCAAAAGCCTAGAAAAAATGAACTTTGAATCAATTCCTCTGAAGACCACTGGAGACAAAGTATCTGATGAGAAGGAATGTTGTTTGCAAAGTGTAAATGTTGGAGAGAAGAACCAAAGGATTACTAAAGATTACTGGGACAACAAAAGCCTGGATAATTTGCGTTTTGATCCGATTCCTCAAGAAGAAACACAGGAGACAGTATTAGATTATGTTGTTGATGATGATGATGRTGGTGGTGATGATTATGGCTTTGACGATGATTGTTTGGATGAAGTAAAAGGAAGCCTGGCTGAAATTATTAACATTTTGAGAAGTATTACCTCCAAGGAGAAAGCATCACACTCTAATCATTAATAGAAGAACAGACTGATATTGAACCCTAATATTGGTGGTGTCACTATGTCAATCATGACCGTTAATCATGTCCACGGCTATGATAGAGAACCATTTTAAAGCCAACTCTCGCCTTGCGGACACCCCGATATAACGGACACCTCGCTGTTGCAGACAGGAGAAAAATCTGAGAAATGACTGTGATCAACTCTCGCTGTTGAGGACGCTCGTTATTGTGGACACCAAGTGACGGTCCCAAGGGTGTCCACCATAACGAGAGTTGACCGTATTGTAAATATTAGGCTCAACAACAAAATCTAAAATATTAATAATGATCACTAAAGTAATAAAATTGAGGGTAAGTTAAATCGGTCACAGATATATTGTTAAGGTCAGTCAGGTCCTTCAGCTATGTTATGAGCATGCGTAAATACGTTATGATACAATCTCGTACCCAGAGCCTGCTTTTCTTCTCGCCTGCGGCGAAGAACGAGGGCTCTGGCATAAAACTATTTTTTGGCGCATGCGCAATTTTCCTAAATAATCAGCGAAAGTCATGCTTTAGAACAGAGTTCTGGGTTTACTTCCGATCAAAATAAAAATTATAGGAATCGGGAACATATTGTTTTATTTTTGGCAAGGCTTTGAAACCATGTGCTCTTTGTGGGAAGTCCAAGAAATGTGGTCTCAAAAAATGGATTATGCGAAGGCCCTCGTTCTTCGCCGCAGGCCAAAAGAAACGCGCGCAGGCTCTAGGTACGAGATTGGTTATGATATCAATAGACAACAAAGATAATCGTATCGACTACGCTTTTTTACACTGATCATCAGGGCTGATGATAGACGACATACCCGGAAGTTTGGTAAAATATATACTGCTTTAAAAAATGTAGCCGATACAAATGAATTAAATATGTAGAACAATGATACCTTCCCATAAAGACCTGTTTGATTAAAAAATAGACTGCTGTGGCACCATATTTAAGGACATTGATTATTCGCTCGTTTCTAGGCTCAAAGCCAGATTCCCAAGATTTTGACTTAGTCCGAATATCGGTGAATCGGATGTCTCATTCCCAGGCGCCTTTATCGTTATTAGTAACCAGGGCACTAAACTAAGGACAGTATGACAATCTAAACTATATGTTAATATTTATCTGGTACAAAAAACATTAATTTATCAAAACAATTTCTTTCGTATAGAGAATTGATAGTCATAGCATTGATGAACAAATGACTAACATGTTTCTTGTGTATTTGATGTCTCCTGTGTATTCATATATAGATTGATTCACTTGAGTGATATTGACTAAATACGCACTAAATTGTGACTATTAGTTAATAACTATTTTGTTTTTATTTCACGGATTAAGTACCATCGCTCTAGTGTGAAAGTTAAGCTACGAAAAATTTAACTAAGCCTCTAGATGCTTAGCGGCACGCTTTTTTTCTTTGTATGATCAAACTATAGCAAACTGGATAACAAATTAACTTTGTTTTAAATCATCACTGAAATAAGGTGAAACTTGCAGAATCTTCAAATACATTGACGTTGAAGCTCTTCTGATGCTAAAAGGCTATGCACTATGGAGTAGCTTTAGAAAGCCTTATTGTTACTCAAAGTAAAACATGTTATAATTTTTATCAGCTACATCGATAAATTTATTGCTCGGTCCAAAAACGTTTTCCATGTAAAAGTAGTGTCACGGTGCGAGTAAAGTTCAAATTCATATTACAATTCTTTTGAAGAACAGAAGAAGATGCAATATTTTGGAACAAGTTGTTTTGCGTAATAAACTTTGAAAATGCCAAGAATAATTGCTTGACGCAAATTTATATGAACCGTCTTGATTGATATCAGTGAGAGATTCGGGCGTTTCTTCTTCTTATTTTCAAATCTCATTTGCAGAGTTTCTAAAACGTTTGGAACCCCTTCCCATTTGCAAAAACTACACTCCTAAACCCAAAGCTTCTCTCGGACAGCTTCTTCTGACCTCTCTACCCCCCCCCTGACCTCTCTACCC